TGATGACTCGTCATAATTTTAAGATACTCTGTGATATATAGAAAAGACATGCATAGAAATAGTGAGTAAAATTCTATATGTATATATTCAAAACTAAAATCAGCCCCGCAAAATGGGGCATCTGCCCCTTTAACTATATTTGCTGATGGTGTTTTCCTACCTAGTGTTTTTGGTAGAATTGGTTATGAATCTTATATGTATACCATATTTGTTATCTTAGATATTATTGTTATATTGTTTTGTATTTGTGTCGAGTAAAAAGACATTTTATTTTTAATCTAAAAAGTGCAGAGATATATTTATTTATGTATTTTATTTATGGTGGCAACTATTCAAATGTTGAATATCAACACTCTATTCAATTTGTTTATTATAAAAATTCAAGACGTATTCATTTAAGGAATACTACCTCTTTGTAAGGACATAAATTTAAAGTCTCAAAATGAGTCTACAAGGGTATATATTCATCAGTTAGATTTTCCAGGTGCCCTGACATAAGAATAGAATCTCTATATAAGACCATATATCCATTAAAGTTATTATTGAAAAACACTTCTAAGCATGTTTCAAAATTACTTAGTGTAATAGTTTTGCGTTTTTATTGGATTATAGAGGGATTCTGTTGTATAATTATGACACCAGGAAAGTCCACCGATGAACAAAGACTCATTTTTACAATTTAAAAATTTCAAATTTTTGGTCATCCTAAGAGGTAGTATACCTTTAAGTTTGTTCATTTCGATTGAAATGTTATTGGTTAATGTTTTGCAATAATAAATGAATAAGCTTAATTTTTGTAACCATTCTTCGAGTCTAGTTCACTTAGTTGTCTGAACGCAGTCAGTTAAACATAGGACCTGACATGAATAGTAATGCCAGCTTAGTTTGGCCATCTGAACATTACTGGCTAACATTAGGCGGCATATGTTGTTCCTCTAAACTTGCTCTTGCCATTATTTTTTTTGGTCGTAATGTGTATGAGTTTTGGTATTGAACTTACTGATAGCTAGCTAGCTTAACTTTTATACACAACTTTATTTTTACTAAAAAACATACACCAGGCTCAGAGAGCTTTTGATAGCAAACAGCTTAACTGAACGCACCATTGGTGAGGAATCGTCTCCTTTCCAGAAGCATTGCTAAACCATCTGAGTGATGACTCAAACAAACCTTAAAATTGATTTTAATACCATACTTGTGATGCTCTTCCATACAAAATTTTGTATTACTGTCGACACAAAAAAATGTTGGAAACAAGTTCTAATCCTGATGAACATGTACAGAACCTGTTTATTCTGTGGATAGATAAAATTCATTAGAAATCTACAGATAATAATTATATTGTTCTCTTTATTTTCATGTTATTTTCATGTTATTTTCATATTCTAACCACTGCCAGCATGACTTCATATTTTCTTCATCGCTCATCTTTTGTTTAGATTTATGTATTCGAATTGTACATGTTCATCCAGGAGTTTTTGACCTGTATGTATTAGCATTAGGTGATTCCAGTGCTTGGCAGTACTATAAGGTTGAACTGAATCATCACAAGCATTGGTTATTGATTGGTAGTCTTCACTACTTTCAATGCAATTTTTCACCTTAAGATTTCAATTTGTCACGAAATATGAAATGGTCACAATTAGTATAAGACAACGACATTTTCCCTATAGGGAACCAGATTAACCAGATTTCTGGAGTTATCTAGCTTAAGTATTGTCATAGAGGCTTATAATAGTATTAAATAAATGCAAAATCAGGCTAAAGTATCCATAAATAGATACATTGATCGGAAAACCTGATATGGATCACTTTGATATTTTGTCCAATACTCCTATATCAAAATGTCGAAATATTAAAACAGAACTTGAATGGTATTGTGACTCAGAGTTTCATGCTATGTGATCTTCAGACATATTAATTAATCTCAAATAGCTCAAAAATGGATCTGGGAATTCCTTTCAAATCACTGTTCCTAAAAGATATGACTAAAAGGAAATGTTATGCTTACATTCTCAAAACCAGTCAATTTTTTTTGTATTACCATAATACTATTACCATATTACAAAAACTAATACCATGATGAAGAGATCCAAAATGATTTTTTAACTAATAAAGTCAAAAATGCATGCCAAGGTTGAAATAGAGTCAGTGATGCTATTAAGTATCAAATAAACAATGTTTTATAGAGATTGAGTTTTATTGATAATGTTAGTTGTTGTGTGACCACAAAAAGCAATATTAGTCCAAAAATGAAGTCCCTAATTTGATTCAGTGTAAGATTGTGCTATTATTTGTAAATTGTTTTATATTGTCAATATAGTTACAAAGTGCATGTATATGAATGTTTTTAATTTGAAATACTATGAGTGTTGTTAAAGAATTATATCTGTTTTCTTTCTTATATGATGAGATAGTTCCTCAGAATTTTATCATTATTACAATAAGATTACATAATGGAGCATGAATGTTCATGAGCATTGTTATTTTTTATCTTGATTAGATTTAATTGTGTTCCATTGTTAAGACTGGCAGTATATTGTGTGTTCTAATGAATGCTTATTGAAAATTACATATTCCTGATTTATTTTCAATACAGAAAGCACTGGAGTGAACAAAATATTTCAGTACATCTTGGGACAAACAGTTTATTGTATATTAAGGTAGTTTAAGTGGTATATAAGACTTAAAGGGATTGTAAAGAGGTTTTCTAAATTTTTTATGTGTATTAAATACACTGATGGCATCAATTTGCGTCATTCCAATTTTTAATCAGACATCTGTGGTTCCTGCAATTCCACAAAAACTGATGAATTCACTAATTGCGAAAGGGGCCTATGTGATAAAGCATATTTTGTTATTAGTGACGTCATCAAAAACACTTAGTTTTAGTGGAATTGCAGGAGCCACAGACATTAAATTGGAATGACATAAATTGTTGCCTGCAAATTGTTGCCATCAGTGTCATCAATACACTTAAAAATTTAGAAAACCTCTTTACAATCTCTTTAAGGTAGTTAAAGTGATATATAAGACTCAATGCAATGTTTCAACAATTTCTCACATTTTATGTCTGACAGATGAATATGTTTCTTGTTAATTTCTATTACTTGTGAAAGTCAATTTTTTTGGAACTCAATCATATGCCAGACTTGATTAATATGCTTTGAACATTCCCGGACGTGCGGATTATCATTTTCCACCTTATCGATAAACAAAGCACATAAGTTACAAAATGTAACAGGTTACACTCTTTCTCTGTATAAGAATTGTACAAAAGATTTTAATTTTATTGTAATTAAGCATGCCAAGAGCATAATGTTTTATGTTACTTTCAAAATGAATTTAGAAATGAAAATTTGACAATATTTCTCTGTTGTTAAAATGTTTGATGCTGAAAAAAGCATTTGGTATGTTTTCAGTTTCTCATTAACATAAATTTCTTAATTATTAAACTACAAATAAAATTGATATGCTCTCTTACAATCCAATTGTCAAGCCAAGAGTTTTTGCATTTGACAGATACACCAGAGGCTCTGCCAAGCTCTACAATAATGCTCCCTTAGTAAATCAAGGGGGACAACTGCAAAATGAAAATGGACATAAAATGGAATGGCTACTTCAGTTGAATGAAACATGTGAATTGAAATTCACAATTTTAAGGAAATTAAAGTACCTTGCATGAAACTGATTGACAATTGTCATTTGCTTGATTATGTCGAACAAATGGTGTTCAATGGTTCTAATGTATCATCTTTCCTCATTATTCCAGCTGTCAATACAGCTGTAAATGGGTAAAGTAATCTTGGAAAGATCAATACTAATAGGTTAGTTCAAGGATCATCATGAACCAAATTCTTATAATAAAGATAACTTTCGAGGCAAGATAACTTAAGCCCACTGAGAGCTGTCAGAAATGATAAAACAGTCTTTAGTACGAACTTTCTCATATTAAAGAAGTTTTATTAGATTGAATTCAATTACATATATATATGCCAGTTATTTATGCTGAGTAATTCCACAATAACCCAAATCAGTAGAGGTTACGCCTACATTGCCTGTGCTTTCGTAACATTGCTTAACAGCAATGTTACAACCTAAAATTCCAAATACAACAAAAAATTAAATCACACAGCTCTAATCAAGGGCAAAAAACAACTAAACGCGTGTTTACAAAGTCAAGGGCAATAACTCAAAAAACGTTCATCAAAAATGTCTTAAGTTAGAATTTGATCTTATCAATTCCAATGATCACACCAAGTTTCATCAATATTGGTAGAAGACTGTAGCTTCTATTGTGCTCACAAAATCTGAAGCGTTTTACAAAGTCAAAGGCAATGACTCCAAAACCGTCGAAAATGCCAAGATCTTATCAATTCCAATGATCATAAACTGTAGCTTCTATAGTGCTCACGAACACATTTTGACGCGTTTTTACAAAGTCGAGGACAGTAACTCCAAAACCGTCGAAAATGCGTCAAGTTATTGAACTTATTGAGATCTTAAAAATTCCAATGATCACACTAAGTTTCATCAGAATCAGTTGAAAACTGCATCTTCAATCCGGCTCACGAACTTTTTTTTAACAAAATTCGACGCGTTTTAACAAAGTCAAGGGCAATAACTCAAAAACCGTTCATCGAAAATGCATCAAGTTAGAAGTTGTCTGAGATCTTATTAATTCCAATGATCACACCAAGTTCCATCAGAATCGGTTGAAAACTGTAGCTTCAATCTTGCTCACAAACTATTTTTAACAAATTTCGACGCGTTTTAACAAAGTCAAGGGCAATAACTCAAAAACTGTTCATCTAAAATGCGTCAAGTTACTACTTGTTCGAGATCTTATCAATCTAAAGCATCACACCAAGTTTCATCAAAATCAGATGAAAACTGTAGACTTTATACTGCTAACAAGAAACGTTGACCGACGGACAGGGGCGACGACAATATATGACCACATATTCATGTGGGCGTATAAAAATGGTTCTTTCTTTTCTATTTCCATACTTATAATTTGTATGTCAAAAGATACCCCATGAAACTGTTTGTTTTACAACTTCTACCTGGATTCAGAAACTAAATTTGCTCATTTATTTTATAAGATATGAGAAAAATTGGAGAGGTGTGAATAGAAGCTGTATGTGTTTGATGCACATAAATAGTATGTGTCTGATCCACATAAATAGTACTAGTGAAACATCCTTAATTCCTTTGTTGGATTTAAGAGGAAAAAAAAAAATATTACACATAAACTTTCTTCAAACAAATCATTTACATACATATTTCATTTCAATATAACAATGCTTCATTCAAGACATGACAAAGTTAATCCTTTTGAAGGCTAGGCTCAAAATAGATAAACTTGTCAAATATAATATGCATATTTTGTTGCTTTTATTGTTTAATGGCAACTCGAATCGTGAAAAAGTGAAACATGGCTGGTTGGTAGATGACAACTTAATTTCCAAGACTATTCATAAAGATGCCAAATCTTCTTAAAATATTTAATGGTTACTTTAAATACTACAAATCATCCAATGTTAGATCACTTAATGCTGCGGGCACATAAACAGTCTTTGTCACCAACGCAAATCTTGAGTAAAATTTCAGCACTTCCATGACAAGATTATCGCGTTGCCGACAGGATTAGAAGTCAAACCAGTTTGATATTTGTCACTGATTGTTTTATTGTCTGCAGGACAGAGCATTATCATTCAATCAGATTTCAATTTTTCTTTCAACTGCATGATCTGAATGTGATTAATGACATAGTGGGAAACAACTGAATGAAGATTTTTGTCTTCTCATGTTGCCTGCAGCCGGTTAGTGAAACTCTTGACAAGACTCTTGTCGCCAATATTGCCAGTCAACTTAATATCAGATAATTTTAATACACATTTCACATTTTATTAAATTTTTTTGTTTATTTTTTGACAATTTATATAAAACTTCGAACAGACATTGGAAGATTCAGAAGAGATTTTCTCTACTTGTACTTATTTCACCATGGTAACAAGAGTAGAGACACTGTACTTAGAACCAATTAATACAAAGTTCCAGGAAATATTCAACCATTTGGCACATTATATTCTTGAAATAGTATCTTGAAGCCATTTAACACATGTAATTTTCCAATCTTAACAACATTATATAATTATTGTCTTTAACTAATTAACTAATATCAAACTGGACCTCCTTTCTGAAATAGTGAAGATAACAAAAGGTTACTTAGCTAAACAAACAGGGTTTCATGCAGGATTAAACAGTAGAGGCCCTTGTTTCTTAAATAGGTGATTTTTATGCACAATTTCTTTCAAAGTTAAGAAGAGATGGTACTTGAAAATCTATATATAATTTTAAAAGAAAATTCATTATTTGATCTGCTATGACTGACATCGGACTGATATCGGACTGAAGCAAAAATTTTCATGATTTCACCTAGAATAAATTCTGGAAAAGGGTAATGTAACTTGGTTGGTAAAATGAAGTTTTAAATCCTACTTTTCTGCACAAAATTGTATGGTATATAATCATATAGGGTAGATGTGTGATTTGATTTCTTTAGGGTACCTTGAGACATTTACACACATCATTACTTGTCTTTACTTGTTAATCATAATTAACAGTCAAGAATGTAGGTAAACAATAATTACCTCTATATATTCCATTTCTTCAGCACTAATAGGTTTACGTCTATATTTACTAGGTAATTCATCATATTCTATATTAGTGACGGTTTGTGGTGTTTTACTGGCACTAGATTTGGAGGGACTAACAGAAACTGATGATGTTGATGATGATGAATCATATTTTATGGCTGAAATAAAAAATTACCATTGGAAGACTCAACAAGCCAGTAAATTTTCAGTATATCAAGGGCTGTAAGATTTTTCGTAAACATAATATAAATATCATCATGATAAAAATCTGACAACAATTGTGCCCTCTATCACGATCACATGCAACTTTTCAGGTATTTTCAGTACTGTATCACAAAGGGTTTAAACTCCATCAATATTTTTCAAATTTTACCTAAATTCAATCTTAACCTACACAGTCACATTAAAGAATCTGACAAAAACTGTCAATTATAGCGGACTGACCACTGGATTGACACGGTGGGCCATGAACTATCTAGTTTCCTAATTATGCAACAACCCCTACTCAAAGCAGAAAAAAAAGGTCAGCTTACATGGTCCTACAGATTATTGACAATTATTGTTTGAATTTCACTTACCTGTAGAAGATCGAGATTTTCCAAATTTGATTGATGGTACATGTGGCTTGACAACCTGTAATATAAATCAATAAATCAAATCAACTAACAAAATTACACTAAATAAGCTTATAGTTATGCACTTTGAAGACATGCATGTTCCTTAAGCACCGGTAGTATATTATCTATATCCTAGATGTGGTAGACAGTACTGAACAAGTTTGCAAAGATAAATATTATATTTTGTAAAATTCCATTGAATAGAAACAAACTTATATCCAAGAAAATGTTGTTTATGTTGACTGAAAGTTAGCCCCTGTAAAAAAATTTTTTATATTTCTATCAACTTGTTTTGAAGCTGACAGTCTCATTCTTATAAGTAAATTAGGCTCACACAGTGCAATTTCACTATATTATGAACAAACTCGTGCTACAGCACGATGACGTGTGAAGCCGTGTAGTGTTAAGACATGAACGACATGACAATGCACGCCATTGTGAGCACCTAATGTATCTTGTTGCATCGTTAGGTTGTGAACATGTCCAAAAATCACCAAGTTAGTATGTGCTGACTTCACCTTTCTAAATAATAATTTATCATTGATTAGCATTTTCATCAATACAAAGATAATCTAAGGACTCTCAGTAGGCCTACAATTTAGTTAATAAGTAAATATTTAAATTCATTCAGACATAATAGGTGAAATTCGAAATGGACAAACAGTAATAAGATAGTTGTTAGACAGTTTAAACGTAGTCTTGAAATGCCCTTCACAAAATTATGGTAAAAAATAGTTGTATTTGTTTGACAGAACAGTATTGACAAGTTCGTGGACAGCACAATCACTTGAATTTTCAGGACACACTTCCTCTGGATTGCCATAAACCATCATATGTATAAGAATACCTGAAAGCTTCGCGAAACAACATTTGAGGCTACTTTTGAGGAAGACATTCCCATTCCGAACACTGACTGTTTGAAGAGTAACAGAAGGGAGGCAACTCGGTCACAACGGTGTGAAACAGATAATCCGAAACTCGGTTACATAATTGGTTTTCGGGAAGCAGGCTTATAATTCCAAAACTAAAGAACAACGTCATGGATTTAGCCCTACAATTCGAGAAATTTCTGTGGCCGTTGGATAGACTCTGACAGGCCTACACTAATTTTTTGATTTATCTCCCTTGAATAGGCTAGCTAATGTGGACACCGGTTGAGAAGCACTACTGGCTAATTCAGACATTTTCCGGCAGGAATATTTTTGAAGGAATCTTTATTTGCAATTGTTTTGACGAGATGTAGGCTAGGCATAAATTCTCTACCAATCGAATTAATGACGAAAATATGGGAGTGGGAAAGCAATGCTATTGTGCTAATAAACTGAATTTTGACAATTTCTTACTTAATCAAGAGCAATAAGTCATCGACTCATCTGTTATTTCGACTTGTGGAACTTCGTTATTTCGGCTTGTGGAACTCGTTATTTCGAATTGTGTAACGCTTTATTTCGAATTGTAGAACTCTTAGTTCGACTTGTGGAACTCGTTGTCCGACATATACGTGGAACTCGTTGTTCGATTTATGGAACGGAACCCGTTGTTCGACTTAATATACATTAATATATACAAGTTCACAAAATTTCAATGAATTCAGATGATAAATGTACATATACAAATTTCAAAGAGGCCAAAAGAACCTGAAATAACTTATTAATAACTTTATTTCTATTCACAAATCCAATAAAAATGCAAAATACGAATTAGCAGTTTTGGGTTGTTCATATCATAATAAACGGTTATCGTTCTTTACTGCAATTGTGCAAACCGATTCTCCATTAGCAATGTGAGTGCAATATAATATAGATATAGGATACCTGTACTGCTCATTCTTAGTATCACCCATGACATCTAGATACTAGTATTTGTTACACCGGAAATGGTAGTTTGAATTACTTGCCTAACTTTCTGGAATTTTCTGGATGTGAACGCGATATGGTTGATTCCCGACATTGAATTCCAAAAAATACATCGGATCTCTGCAACATTTGCAGAAAAAGTGTAGGAACAGCCGTAACCTTAACTTAGAGCTCGTTTACCGTCCGATATATCAGACGTTGGAATTAGATATGTATTCGGGACGTGTCTAGGCGGTGTTCAAGAGTAAAAACCTGTATAGACTATTTACAGTGATAACAGTCTCGTGACCATCCACAAAGAAACAATTTCCAGGTACAACACCAGAAACCAGAACAGCACTTGGACTAAAAGAAGTTTTACATCGGGGCTGTTTACAAAAATGCAGCTATACATCCTTGATCTTCAGTTTGAAGAAACATATGCCTAATGTTCTTGATCTCTGGTGCTGTGCGTTCAACAGATAACTCCTTTAAAAGGCATTCCAGTTACACGATACCCAAATACATGTATAGAACATGCAGTTAGTCTATACGTTTTAGATAAATGATTTTCAGTCGAATTTGTTCAACCGTGCGATAAAAGGGTCAAATAGTCGTAGCCTACCCGTATTTTATCTCTGATCGTACGCATTATCATTCAGCAGTTATCCATAAACATAATTTGGTATTAGAGCTGAATATAAAACCCCAAAATTTACTAAATGTCAGTGGTCACATATAAATCAAAGCAATTCGACACATTAATTTATGAATTAAAAAGGAGAAATATATGAAAAAAGAACATCATTCTGTAACACAATTTTTATAATATTTTTGTCCATTTCATAATTCATCCCGCAAATCCCCGTGAATACCCGTGACTTATAAACAGTTTCATAATTAAATTATTTCATCACTTCTCCATTTCAATGTCTGTGTATTAGCCGGATCTGGTAATGTTAATAAAGATTTCGTCTTGAAGACAAAATCCATTACGTGTTTATCAGACCTGCGATATCTACTCCGGACTTTACTTAAAGAACAAGTACTTCCATCTATACTACTGACGTCACTCTGAGAGCTGTGCAGTTCGTACATGCACCGTAATTGTAAAATGGTGGTTCGTAGGTTAATAAACTGTTTTAACAGAAACTTGTCTTGTTCTTTCATCAACATCTGAAAATATAATACCAAAAAATAGTACCGCTTAAGTCTTGCTGTTGGTGTTTCTATACATTTATTTGAATTATTTCTGTTTTCCGTAAAATAATAAGGGGAATATGGTATATATTTAGTGAAATTCCAGATTCCTCGACAAAATAAATATAGCCAGGCTTAAAATCGTAACACCTCCTGGGTGATCTAAAATAAACACTAAATGTTTAAATAACTTCTTTTCTGTGGCAAAATATTTGTCATAAAACTAGAAAAATCAACATTATAGGAATAACTTATTTTCTTGTTAATATGTATATATGAGATGCCTACGTCTAGGTGGACTGAGGAAACTCTCTGAGAAATCAAGGATATTATCCTGGTTCCATTAATCCCTTTGAATATAGCAGTGCATACATCAAATGAAACAAAGTATCGTCATTGAAATGTCAATTTTTTTCAAAATTTGTCGAAGATGTGGTCCTTTCAACCGAGACCGAATTGACATTGGCAATCTGTGACTGACAAATACTGGGAAAAATCTTTGGGTATTTGCCATCATAGATCAAACAATATAATAAATACTTATACCCGTATTCTGACAAATAAAATGCAGACCTTGGCCAAATACCCATTGAAGGACATTTTTCGAGATTGACAGAATCTTAATGTTAAAGAAAGCTTATCATTCATGTAACATGCATCAAAGTCAAGACTTAAAGGGGTTGTAAGGAGGTTTTCCAAACTTTTTATGTGCATTTGGGAAACTTGTAGCATCTACTTGCACTATTTCAATTGCAAAAACAATCAGAAACATACATCTGCCTATTCCAGCCTCTTATTTGTCGATAACTGTCTGCTGGAGTAGGTGCACCCGAGGTACATAGGCCTATGCTTAAAACACCTTACCTTCAGAGGCTTCAGAAAAAAATTCCCATAAAACTGGCGATGTTTTCTGAACCTACCCCAGCCGACAAATATTGTCAAATAACAATCAGAGGCTGGAATAGGCAGATGCATGTTTCTGATTGCTTTTGCAATTGAAATGGTGCAGGTCGATGCTGCAAGTGTACAATCTTGAAAAATGTGCTTTAATGGGTATATATGGCCGTGATCATAAATCATGCATACTACAACAACGTGACAAGATCACAGGGCGCTGAAAGTAAACCGAATTACACTTACAATTTCTTGTCGTATCCAATTCAGTGCTGCTTCTAGATCCCTTTCTCTCGATTCTTCACTTTTACCAATATTCAATACACTTCCCTTGCCAGTTTCAATAAGTTTCTTGATGTATCTTTCTGGTAACTGGGCAGTATTCTGTGAAAATTGAGCTGTTTGAAAGGAAGTACAGGCGGATTCCTCGTCCACAGTAGAAGATAAAGTTATCATGTTGACGATAGAGCTAAAGAATCATTGTGTCATCCCAGTTCTTTTGTTCGAATTGTTGTAGCGATGATGTCTTGTAGAAGTTAATTTTCTTGTTTGCTGGACAAACAGTTTCTTTATGCAACCATTACTTTTCTTGCTTCAGAAAGTACTTTATTTGATGCAATGTATATCTTGTACCAGTGGTTCCTTCTTTAGGTCTAGCAATTAGTTTCCGTGTTCTGTTAATTATATATAATTCTATTCATGCCACCACGAATTGTCTCTCTCTCAACGATCTGGCAATTTCGTCTCTCTCACCAGCAATTAGTGTCCTTCTTACTTCAAGTATTGGTTTCTTGATGCCTTCCTATAAGAATTACTTCTTTTGGTCTAGTCTAAGTACTTTACTTGCTCCAGTGGTTGCAGGTTACACTGAAACAAATTCTCTTGCTCAAATTGTCAGTCACAAAATATTTTTTCCATTCATGGTTAGTTTGCTTCGAATTTTAGTCCTGGTAACCGCATTCAATCATACATCACTGATTGAAAGTATTCGAAAATGTAACAACACCAAATTTATTATGGAGTCGAGCAAGGCAACCTTTCTCCTCCTTGGTTGTTTATGTTATGTACAAAAAGCTCTGAAATATGGCTTCAATTCAACCAGGCTATAATACAAATTCTTTGACCTGGTGTAAACAAACAGTCTAACGTTCGCCAAAACTCTGGTTAAAACAATAGTTTCATAGATTGTTTACTTGTTTACATTTTACACGACAAAATACACACCTTCTTACACTTTCCATCACTTAGTAACGGTTTTCGTGCACTTTTAGAATTCAAGGTCATACTAAATCTAAAAGTTAAGTTTTCTTGTGTTTAATTTATTTCTTCTCCCATGCTTTAGCAAACTACTATATTTATGGACCAAAATAAGCTCGTCATTATGTGCTACGAACGTTATAATTAAATACCGGTAATGAAAAATAATCCAGCTATATTGACGCTTGCTAATGATAAAGCACAGTTCCCACCTGTCTATATCACTTTTTTTATGTTCGATTTAGATTGGAGACTTTATTAGCTTTGAGACAGGAAATTAGAGAGGAGATCGAAGGAAAAGAAAAGAGAGGATTGAAGAGGAAACGTGAGGGAAAATGCGAGAAATAGGAAGAAGCGTAAGTAGCGAAATTTGATACTGCACATGGATGTGAAGAGGAATTGTGGAACAGTAGCCCAGAGTCAAAGTAGAAACGGAGACAGTGGTTAGTAGAAATGGGAAGTAGGTAGACAGGAAAGAGATACGAATAGCTAAGGGGGAAAAAGAAACTGGAAGAGACTGGAGTATGGATGTAAGAAGAGTGGAAGGTGAAGAGAGTGTTAAAGGAGAAACAAGAGTTCCTTCCCTTGAAGTAAAACGTATAAAACGTGATTGTTTAGATTAATAATTTGATACATAGAAATACCACTTAAATTGAACTCTGATTTTTTAAACGTTTAATGGTCCGTCCGTCCGTCCACATTATAGAAGGCACAATTCTTAACGAATTTTGACGAAACTTGGTGAAATTGTTTAAGGATAAAAGTTTTTCCTGAGTTATTGCCGTTGTTCTTAAAAAACGCGTGCAATTTTGTAGCCCGTGAGCTCTCTAGAAGGCACAATTCTTGCCCCGGATTTGGACAAAACTTGATAATATTGTTCATAGTCACCCAAAAAAGTTCGAAAAAAGCGTCTGACTAAAGGTTGATTATTCCATACTGGTGATTGTAACTATATTATGCAATATTCTTTTTTAAAATCTGCCAGTAGGCGTACATTACCTTGACTTGCAAGCTATCTTATAACATTCTCGAGGGCACTTATGTAATTTTAAGATTTGCTTTACTCTAAATGAACATCGGTGCATAGTCAAAGAATTAGTATCTATAATATCATTTGGATAGTTTTTTTATTTGCGAATATTTTTCAACATTTAAACAGTTTTCTACAGTATATTAACCAATAATTGGTGGAACACACACTCCAGTAGATTCCAAATGGTGTAAAGAGTCGCATGCTGTACAAGCATTTCTTCCAGTACATGATGTACATCCTTCACCACACCCTGTAATATACAAATAGAAAACCCTGTAATATATAATAGATATCCCTAAAACATACAATACATACCCCTAAAATATACATATAGATAACCATAAAATATTCAAACAGATAACCATAAAATATACATACAGATAACCTTATATTATACAAACAGATAACCTCACACTATACAAACAGATAACCTCAAACTATACAAAGAGATAACCTCAAAATATACAAAGAAAACAATAACCCCAAAACATTGAAAATATACTTAAATCACTCTAAAAATTCACCTACAGATCACCATAACCTGGTGAACATTATCCTTTTAATGTAAAGTTTGTAATATCAAGTTTCTATCATGATTCTAACGTTTAAATTGTGGTACTTACATTCACATAAAGTTACAGTGTCTACCACTCTAGAATAAAACCCATCTTTACAAGTTGTTCCTTTGGCACATACATATCTTGGTTCGTTACTGAAAAAAGGTAATTACAGAAATAATAATTCACAATAATAGACAATAGACAGGTTTGGTTTATCATTGAAAATGTTTCTTTTAGTATTTCATTCGACTTGACATCAGAATTCTGTCTTCAGATTATCAGATGGTTGGTTGGTAGATGGCAAAGTAACGTTCGCTTTCATTGGATGCTGAAATCTTAACTTAACTAGTCGTTGGTAGTTGTTGGTTGTTGTATTGGTCCAATTGGATATCTGCAGTGCTGTTTAGATTACCAGAAGAAAACTTACATATTTATACCATCTTTTATACTCAGTCCTTTATAATCATAGTAAGGTGCAGTGCGGTTGGTATTTTTCTCAGTGTATTTTGGGTTAAATGTTACTGTGTAACCATGTTTACAGAGCTGACACCCAATACAACCCGCACCTCTATTCACATAAGCCTTGTATTCACAGTTCTGTGGTTGTACGGGACATAAAACTGAAATAAATATCACTCAAATAGTCACGTATTCACGATCATATGACATCGTACAAGAGCTCTGATTAGACTGTTTTCGCTAGCGTACAATCCAATCAAATCGCCGCATTTATCAACATCCGCGATCGAAGAGTGGACATTTAACAGTCAAGGTATAAAAAGAACTTCGTAATAACATTGTGAAGATGCAGCTAGTGGGCTAGTGGTATGATAGCAAAAGTAATGAATTTGAATTCATACAAAAAAAAAAACACCAAATCTAGATTATGTATTCCAAAACACTCACCATTAGAATGTTCACAAGTAGTTTTACTGTTACCAAATAGTATCGCAGTTGCTCGTCGATATCCACCAAAACATGATTGACAAGTTTGAAAACCTGAACAATGTCTACAACCCTCTCCACACCCTATAAGATTCAGTTTCAAATGGTATTAAAGAGAAATTCAATCAACAACAAAACATCAATTTACGAGGCCCTGAATGTAATATTGGACATCTGGTCTATTTTCACTATGAAGAAATTATAACCTTTACCCCCTCCATGGACTAAAATGGATGTAAAACCCAAAGTAAAAGTGAGATAATACGTTTTTATGAAGCTCGTACACTCTCCCTTCTTCTACTGGCTTCTTCGCTTGAAGAGGCATCGTGTTCAAACCACACCCCCATTCGCCATACTTCCTTGGGGATGAGAACTTATTCCATTGAAAGATTTTATTAAAAACTTACATGCACAATATTTATTATTGGCCATACCAAGATAATAGCCAGGGCGGCAAGAATCGCCAGGCACACAGAGCCATTCTGGTTCATTTCTAAAAGGTATAAATTCATTCTAAAACATTTTTAGTGTGTAAAAGTTTAAAAAAAACGTCTATGAATTAATTACAATATTACAATCATTATTTTCATAAAATGATTACCAATAATCTAACGTGTTACTTTATTTGCAGTGGAACAAGACGTTAAATTTTCATTCTGATAGGCTCCTCCAGCGGGAAAAGCAGATTGTCTGATTTATTAGAGAAAATCAGAAAATTATAGATCAAACTTACACATTGAATTTGTTGGAAATGTTGATATTTTTGTATTGATATACACCAAATGATGTAGAATCTTGATAATATCTTTTATTATAAGTTTGTATAAATCCTGGTTTACATCCATCTTGACAGCCTAGACAGCCATTGGTGGGGAAAACTTTACCATTATACGTTTCAGTTAAACAGTTTGTGGCTGGATTTGGGCATTTCACATCAGCTGGAAATCAAACAGATGAATCTGGAAATTAACTCTAAAAATACACGATTGGTGATATGGTTAACACCAAAAGCATCCAGTCCCTGCTTTAATCAATCAAATTTTGTGAGAAAGGTTGAAATTTGATTGGTTAAAGCAGTGGCAGGTCAAAAGGTTATTTTGACAAATGTTTAAGAGGTCAGTCTTTAGACCCTAACTGAAGTGGCTATATTAGAAATAAAAGCTAATACAAAAATTAAGAATGGTTGGTCTAATTTTAAGTTGACTGCCAAAGCATCATTCAGTCATCTTGTGCTATAGTCCAAGATGTGCGCTTTTACCTCTATTACAATTACGTTTGGAAGTTTTAAGTCGTTTGTTCCAATTTCAACATTTTTCAACAGTAAGGCCTATCTATATAGATTCCGCAAGTTTCTGAATATGTCATTCAGGTCTTTCGGACATCACTTTTCATGAAAGTTGCACCGATCCACTTTTGGATCGATAGTTTTTGAAAATTTAACCATGTTAAAAGCCGTTAACCCATCCGTAGGCTATATATCATGTCGGGTAGGGTCGGGCTAGCTAACTTTTCTAAAAAAAAAAACGCACTCGATGACTTGAAACAATTTCGGGTTCCATAATTAAGAACCTTTGTGTAACTGGTTAAAATCTTTTTTGGAAGAACTATAATATAGGCTACCTTTTCAAAGTATAAGTTCGCCTTTACAATAGCCCACAGAATAATATGTGTAGGCCTAAACTTACCTCCCAAAATGGTGTTTATAAGCGTCAAGAAAACAATTAGTCCTTTTCCTACCGCCATGGTGTCACTCAAAACAGTTTTACAAGTTATACCCTATCATGGGAACTGATAGTAAATAGCCATATGTCAATGAAAATACAAAAATAAAATCCGTCAACATAATCATAATCTTTAAAAAATTAAACGATTTATGCAAATTGATGTTAAGATGATAAGATTATGAAAGCCGTACCAAGAAACCTTTATGAAAGTTAAACAATTTTTGAGGTAAGTCAAGACATGCACATGATATCTATGAATACACTGTTGTGTTTTGAAGTAAATTTTTTGCATGCAAGTTATTTCCCTTTGGCTCGTCTCTAGTATTGAAGGTCTGAGAAGTGTTAATTTCCGTCTTGTAATTTCACCACGCAAAGTTTTGTTTATTTACAACAAAAATGTATATATTTTCTTGTGACAGTAAGTATTAGTCGCTCTATTTAACTGGGATCTAAAATACGAATCTATTCCGGCATTCCACCTACTACTCAATTTGAGCACAATGATTTTCAAGTGAAATATGTAGCCTGAAATATGGTTACCTTTTTAGGCTACATTTCCAAACGTCTCATCGTACAGTCATACTTGATATTCGTTAATATTTTCAGTGGTTTTACTGAAATGAAAATGGCATTTTACAGTCATTGATGCAATCTAAAAATATTCCTCTGTTCTTTTGGATGTACCCTATCAACATCTATACATTCTTTCGACCAATTGTAGGCCTACCACTACCTTACTCTAAAAAAACGGAACTTTTAGCTAAACTAATCAATAATAGTGTTCACAAGTTACCATTGAAATTTCAAACTTCAAATCCATAACTGTCCAGAATTATCTTATTTTTAAAGTTAAAATGTCATTTCTGATACTACTTCCTGTGGAAATGACATAGAAAAAAAAGTGAAATTTCCAGTTTGAAGTATACAGTCGAGTAACCTAACCTTCCGTGGAAACCTATTATTCGTGGATTTCCGGAAAGGATTAATAATTTACATGAGCGACCTCCGCATTAGTTTGTTTTAATAAACATTGGTTTTCTGTACAATATCAGCTAGTAGAATGAATCCAGTAGTTTCAAGCAAGGTAAAATGTATTAATGTATACTTTGACAAATACAAAATGGCGGATTTCAGTTATTACCAAACGTCACCATTTTTTATCAGCCGAATTTCCTTATAATCCCTAGCCGTAATCGGAATTCCAAGTGTCGTCTGCTAGAATGTAGTCCAACGAATGAAGTCACATGATCAACTAGCGGATTACGTGTCAGAAGAAAATTTCTATGGAGCACAAAATGGACCATATTCTTATGTTGTTTCAGTGACTTTTAGCGATAAATCACGCTACGTATCTTATTTTGTCAGTCACTATTTTTTTTTAAAATCGTGGTTCTTTGAAGGAATTGTCACTAGTTATAATGAATTCATATTAAAGATAAATACTAAGAGAAGTTAATTATAACACTGGGTATCCATACAACGTGTTTTTCTCAAACATTGTACACGAAAATAGGTGACGCATTCTGACGCCGTTGCCGAGTTGGTTGCCCATGAAATATGGGTCAAAGTGAAGGATTCATAAAGAAAATCAAAATAAACCAATTTTAATTATTTTGTAGAATATCTGAGGACACTTCTAAGACATAAAAATTTTTTTTTTGTTATTTTAATTTTGACGAAATTCGGTGTTGAATCCTTATATCCACGAAAATAGGTTACACCACTGTATTTGAAGGCATTTCATTGTGCGATTTTCTTGCAGTTCTAGTAGTTCTGAAGACTATTTACGTATATTTAAGGCCCTAAAAAACCCCTGAAAATAGCAAACTCTAGATCTTATTCATGCCTCGTTTTTGAGACAATGAAAGCAAGGCTCATAACACAAATTACGTCATCCATTGAATGTGAATGAATGAATAGCCAATTTGACTTCATTAGACACTTGCTCAACAGCACGAAAATTAAAACTGCCAAAGAGAAACATAACATTTTAACATATTGTGATACTGGCATATAGGCCAATTTCTCCTTGATTATAATTGATAAAATTTGATTTTTCTTCATTTTAGTTGTTTCACCCCCATACATGTTATACATGGGAGAAGAAAAACATGAAAGTAAGTACCGTAGTACATTGTTCTTTTGTTAATTTATTACAGGAAACAAAGTACAATAATGAAATATTTTCACTGTTAAAATAGTCTCAATACTTCAATTGTTGAGGAGTTGAAACAGAACCTAAAAACACATGCTTTTGTTCCTCAGAGTTTCATTCTATGCGATCTTCAGACAATCGACCTATTTTCAGCCTGTGTCCCTACTGAAGCTGGACAAGTAGAACTTGTTCTCATGTCTGCATTTGGAGATAAGCTCCGAAAAAAGTATGTAGGATAGTCTAACTTGGCATTTTTTAAAAATATTAACAAAAACAAATATTTTGCATCAATGGTATAGATCTAATTCATATATTATTACTATTACTGCAGCCCACAAGACAAAGTGAAATCTACTTTTGTTTTCAGATAAATCTGAACATCATATTGTGCACAAGGAATCAAATAATATCCTATTATATTAGTTTATCAGCATCATATATTTGACCTCTTACCATTTTAGATGAGGAGTTGATTAGATGGGGCTGGCCAGAAGATGTGTGGTAAATATTATTATGTGGTTTTTATCTTGTGCTTTTTTCACATATGAATGTGTAGGGTTCAAGTCAGACAAAATGTATTTTTTTCCCTGTCTGGTTTTCCTTTCTCAATGAAGGCTTGGTAATTATGATTAGCTGTTGTTACTTGTTACACCTATTGAAACCACTGTCTTGAAAATGATTGCCTCAATACTGAAACATAAATAGATGAAAATTAAGGCTTGAAATTCCAATATTTTTTTATACGCCCACATGAAATGTGGAGCTTATATTGCCGTCACCCATGTCCATCCGTTGGTCCATATACAATTGCTCATAAACACTCTAGTAGGCAAAACTGCCCCAAAAAAGTTCAAAAGATGTGTAAGACTGAAGGTTGAATATTTCATACAGGTAATTGTTACTGCACTGCCAAATATTTTTTTTTAAGCTGCCAGTGGGAGTTTATTACCTTGCTTGGCAAGCTATCTTATTTTAATATTTGTATTTGCATCAAAGCTATATTAAAAACCATAAAACCCGTTGAAAAACTAATGAATTATGCAATCACCAACTAAAAGCTATGTTGATCATGTCTATGAAAAGTTAGGTATACAATATCATAAGTAAACTTTTTCTCTCCAGGTTTCATGTGGATAAAGTTTCATCAGCTCATGTCTACTTAAGGTTACATCAGGTTTGTTTATTATTATTAATTCTTTCTGAAATTTAGTATTAATAATATGTATTTAACGTGTTTATGTATATGTGGCGTGTTTGTTGATTAAAGATTTACTAGTGGAACTAGGTAATTCCATTTGTACAAGATTGGCTTTAGTGTCATCATGAATTTTAGAAACATGACCTAATGTCTCATTGTATATTTAGATAACAAGTATTCATAAATTTTATAATTTGGTTAGACAATGATATAAATCTGTTCTACTCTCTGGCCACATCAAAAGTTCATTTTTGTATGAATTGAAATATTAATCTCAAAAGATTGCTGAGGGTCTTAGGTTGTCTTTGTGTTTTTCTTAGAGAGAAGTGTGTTCATTTCAAGTGCAAAATTTTCACAACTTAAATATTCATGGACTCAAAGGCTTCTAAGACAATTGGTATGCACTTGAAAATCATATTTTGAATATTTGTGACATGAGAGAAAAAATCCAATGAGAACTCAATGTGACCAGAGAGTAGTTCTTTTGAATGGAAACATGCAGAAATCACAGGAGAAACACAATGTCTTTGCACAAGAGTATTTGAAATATATCTCTTATGATGGGAAAAGCCAATAATAACACATACATTGCCACAGGAGTTTTTCTTTTATATTATTATTAGAGTTTAGATTGCAATTTCTATGTATTTCCTTTAAGGAGGTATTCATATAGATCATATGACTATAAAAGACGGTTTCTTACAACAAGTATTTTCCAATTTATGCCTGAGATTGGGCTTTTTTAATGTCTTACATCCAAATGTTATCAGCTTGTGGATTTTGATTAATGAACACACCATTTGTATAGGTTTGCATTGGAGTTCATGAGAATACTATAATTTATTTATTTTTTAAGGGTGAAAATTTAGAAGATCTAAGTGAAGCAGTGATAGATGATTGTGCTCAGTTAGTCAAGGCCAACAGTATAAATGGTAAGGAGAATTTGAAAAAAATAAAGTGATCATAAAATGGTCATATTATAATGTTGGAAGTCTGAATCTATCTGTAAATTAATGGCACGTGAATGCAATAGTCACTAGTGTTCAGATTTTGACAGAACCTGGTATGATTTTGAATTGGAATTTCCAAATCATCAGTTTTAAGTGATTGCCCTTTACCTTGCTATAAGCTTATCATTTCAAAGATCACTTACAGCTGCAATGGAGTCTAAAGTAATCAGAACTGCCATTGGTAGTCCATTGTTTCTATGTAAGCATACATCTTATTAAAGCTAGGCACAGCACAATGTTCATAAGAAACATTGCATATGCCGCTTTGTCACATGACTTTTGTCTTACGTGACCACAAGGTTCCAATATAATTTTATTTCACATATGTTGATTGGCTAAGGACGAAAATTTTTTCGAAAAAATGTATTCGCACACAACTGACTGGAAACATTTGTTCAGAATTCAAGAATTCAACCTTGAAACAATGTTTTGCTGACAAAAGACCTTCTTGTGCTTGGGCTTAGTTTTGTTCACCACTGAATTCTTACATCTTTTTCAGGAAATAAAATGAATAATGTAGATGTTGTATATACTATGTGGTCAAATTTAAAGAAAACTCCAAAAATGGATGTTGGCCAAGTTGGATTTTATAAAGAAAAAGATGTAAGTTATTAGAGGTCCTGTCAGTATTATGAGCAGTAGGGGTACAGGGAGGGGGCTTGTACCCTCAGTCACATCCCACTTCATTTTTTCACAAATTTTAAAATTATACCTGAATGCACTGAATTTATTATTATTTTTATACGCCCACATGAAATGGGGGGCGTATATTGTCGTCACCCATGTCCGTCGGTCCGTCCGTCCGTCCACAATTGCTCGTAAACACTCTACAGGGGCACAATTCTTGACGGATTTTAACGAAACTTAGTATGTGTGTTCGCAATCACCCAAGGATAAACCCTATTGAAAATCAGCGAAATCGAAAAATATTTAGCATGAATTATTGCCCTTGTTAATTTTAGCTCGTAAATACTCTAGAAGGCACAATTCTTGACAGATTTTGACGAAACTTGGTATGAGTGTTTGTAATCACCCAAGGATAAACCCTATTGAAAATCAGCGAAATCGAAAAATATTTAGTATGAATTATTGCCCTTGTTCTTGAAAACGCGTTCAATTTTTAGCTCGTAAACACTCTAGAAAGCACAATTCTTGACAGATTTTGACGAAACTGGGTATGAGTGTTCATTATCACCCAAGGATAGACCCTATTGAAAATCAGCAAAATCGAAAAATATAAAGTATGAATTATTGCCCTTGTTCTTGAAAACGCGTTCAATTTTTAGCTCGTAAACACTCTAGAAGGCATAATTCTTGAAGGATTTTAACGAAACTTGGTATGAGTGTTACTAATCACCCAAGGATAAACCCTATTGAAAATCAGCGAAATCGAAAAATATTTAGTATGAATTATTGCCCTTGTTCTTGCAAACGTGTTCAATTTTTAGCTCGTAAACACTCTAGAAGGCACAATTCATGACAGATTTTGAAGAAACTTGGTATGAGTGTTTGTCATCACCCAAGGATAGACCCTATTGAAAATCAGCGAAATCAAAAAATATTAAGTATGAATTATTGCCCTTGTTCTTGAAAACGCGTTCAATTTTTTGGTCGTAAACACTCTAGAAGGCATAATTCTTGAAGGATTTTAATGAAACTTGGTATGAGTGTTCGTTATAACCCAAGGATAAACCCTATTGAAAATCAGCGAAATCGAAAAATATTTAGTATGAATTATTGCCCTTGTTCTTGAAAACGCATTCAATTTTTAGCCCATAAACACTCTAGAAGGCACAATTCTTGAAGGATTTTAACGAAACTTGGTATGAGTGTTCGTAATCACACATGGATAAACCCTATTGAAAATCAGTGAAATCAAAAAATATTTAGTATGAATTATTGCCCTTGTCATTGAAAACGTGTTCAATTTTTAGCTCGTAAACACTCTAGAAGGCACAATTCTTGAAGGATTTTAACGGAACTTGTTATGAGTGTTCGTAATCACCAAAGGAGAAACCCTATTGAAAATCAGCGAAATCAAAAAATATTTAGTATGAATTATTGCCCTTGTTCTTGAAAACACGTTCAATTTTTAGCTCGTAATCACTCTACAGGGCACAATTTTTGATGGATTTTAACAAAACTTCGTATGAGTGTTTGTAATCACCCAAGGATAAACCCTATTGAAAATCAGCGAAATCGAAAAATATTTAGTATGAATTATTGCCCTTGTTCTTGCAAACCATTCAATTTTTAGCTCGTAAACACTCTAGAAGGCACAATTCTTGACGGACTCTACAAGTCACAATATTTTTGTTCATAATCACAATTTACAATAGATGTCATTATTTTCCTGAGAAACTATTTTGGTTAACAAATAAGAAAATTTAATTTAATCATTTAACATGCCCCTAACAAGCCACCATACATGTACAGCATCATAAGATACTATAAATAGACCAAGTGGAAAATCCAAGACAGATATCCAATCATAGCTTAGTCATGTGACATCCCAAGATGCAGCAGTTTATCTGATTTCATTTTATAAATGTCATTCAAGAGAAAGGGTTTGCTTAATCATTTCATTTTCACCAATTGTGCTGATACAAAATGAAATTAAACATGGGTCATAGGGGAAAGGTTTTGTTTCTTGGAAGATTGAATTGAGTTGCTGGATAAGTAGGCTACTATAGGAAAAATATTTAGTATGAATTATTGCCCTTGTTCTTGCAAACCGTTCAATTTTTAGCTCGTAAACACTCTAGAAGGCACAATTCTTGACAGATTTTGACGAAACTTGGTATGAGTGTTCGTATTCACCCAAGGATAAACCCTATAGAAAAATCAGGGAAATCGAAAAATATGTAGTATGAATTATTGCCTATATTTTTGAATATAATCTGCAAATACACAATTCATGACAGACTTATTGAAATCACCCAAGGATAAATCTGATCAAAAATCTTGTACAACATGTAATTTTTATTCTGCAAAGCAGAAGTCTAAAACAAATTTTACAACTTGATGAAATTGATCACAATCAAAACTAAACCTTTTGAAATATAAAATACAAGTTATTGCCGTTATTCTTACAAATGTGTTTGATTTTTAACATGTGATGGCACAGTTTGTGATGGATTTGGGTATAAGTTGAATATTTCCTGGTGTCTATGTTTGCTATTTTCTAACAAATATTCAATTTCAAACAAAGCTATCAGTGGGCGTATATTACCTTGCCTGGCAAGCTATCTTTTTTAATTTGCTTGGGGAGAAAGCAGCTATTTGGTCTGGTTCCAAAAATAGCGCCAAACCATCAGACACGATGAAGGAAACTGGGTTGTCTAAGGTCTAATCTGTTTATCATCAGGTAAAGAAGGTGAGAGTAGAAAAAAGAATAAATGAAATAGTTAATAGATTAAATAAAACAAAGAAAGAAGTACATCCTGATCTACGTGAACAGAGAGAAGACAGAGATAGAAAGGAAAGAGAAAAAGAGAAAAATTTACAGCATGAAAGAAAATTAAAAGAAAAAGAAGAAGAAAGAGTGCGGAAAGAACAGGCTGAATTAAGGTAAAATTAGTTTTTTATACTGTACAGATTTTATACATGAAAATATTGATATAGCAGGAAACAAAATATGCTGTATCGCATCACATGTAAGTATGGGCGTATATTGTGGTTGCCCCTGTTCACATTTACCTCGTGCTCACTCTACAGACTACAATTCTCTATAGATTCTTTTGATCTTATGTATGTGTGTCAATATCATTATGAAGATGTGCACTAATGAATTTGGTGATGATCCGATGATTTTCTTCAGAGATATCGCATAAAACTCTGATTTCGCGTTCGTTTTTATACGCCCACACATAAGTATGGACATATATTGTGGTTGCCCCTGTTGGTTGGTCCGTCCGTTCACATTTACCTCGTGCTCACTCTACAGGCTACAATTCTCTATTGATTCTTTTGATCTTTTGTATGTGTGTCAATATCATTATGAAGATGTGCACTATTGAATTTGGTGATGATCCGATGATTTTCTTTAGAGATATCGCGTATGTTTTTTTTTCTTTACTTTTTTGGCTCGTGCTCAATCTACAGACTACAATTCTCTATTGATTCTTTTGATCTTTTGTATGTGTGTCAATATCATTATGAAGTTATTAATGTTCATATTTATTACTGGTACCAATATTCATAGTTAAATAATTCAGTAATGATATGTTTTATCAAAAAATCAAACACATTCAAGCCAGATCAACTTGTGAATCTGTGATCATTAAAGTAAAGCTATGTTCATTTTGCATTTTTTTTCGAAAAGGATTCTACTAATGAATATATTTCTGTACATAATAAAAAGTACTTTGCTAATGCTTCAAAGGATACTACCGCTTAGAATGGACGCACAATTTAAAGTCAGTTGGACCATAACTAAAGCATATAATCTCTATATAAGACAATATATATCCACTAACTAAATAATTATTGTTACACGTTTTCTTATTGAAATGAACTATTATGTAATGAACTATTACTTAGTTTTATGTATTAATTGGATTAAAGAGGGAATCTGTTGTATAGTTCATCAGGTAAATCCACCGATGAACAAAGACTTATTTGAACCAAGTTTTGAAATTACCATTTACTCATAAATCAATGTATGCTCTTTGATATATAAATTCCATATTTTTTTAGGTCATATTCCACTTTAATGAATGAAGATAATATGAAGACAAACTTAGTAAGTATCAACTAAAATATTATAAAAAACATAAAATGCTGATCAAGATGTTTGGTTTCCAGGATAAAGTTATTTGAGGTTAATATTTTTTAATTTTTACAAAAAGTATCACTTGTCACTTGCGAGAGTGTTATTTTAATTGTATAAAATTTCAATTCCAGAAATTTAAATTAAAAATTTTTCTTTATAACTACCACTTCCTTTAAAATAATAAAAATTTAACAAAAAAATATACGAGTAGTGGAGATTTAGCCAATTTTATGTAGTGTTTGTAGCAATTTGTTTATAGTATAAAGCATATCAACTTAGTAATACAATTTAGAATGATTTGTGGAATGTTGGGATTGTATATATAGGGACTGAAAGGGGGCATGTCTATTTAAAGATGGGTTTAACTATTTGATTAAATGGTGATGAATTATCACATATTCTTAATGATATCATTATGTTCTTATTGCACATAATTAAGAGTTTCAACCAATCATAAATATCCGTGTATGTACAGTCTGGATAAACAAAAAAAAGAAGACTTTTTGACCTTTCTAATTATGAATTAATTATAGAGATGTGAGACAAACTGGTATTTGTCCAAGTCATTAGAACACCTCTACTTTCTATTTATATAAGTATTAGCATTTTCATTTTCATAAATTAAAATAAGGGAACCCATCTTTAAGTGTTCAGAATACAGCTATTCTTCTGCTTTCCCATTCCTGCCTGTGGTTCCTGTAAAAATAACTATTGGTTAGAAGAGGATTTTTAATGTCATACAAAAGTTGAAAATACACTACAATCCCTTAAATGAAATCATTTCATGTAGTTTGCTGAGTAAATCCTCTCACTTTTGGAGGTAGAAAATAACAAGGAATTGACTCATCAGTCATTTATGGTTGAAATATCCACCAGAGATCCATCAATTTATCATAATGTAAATATCTATCTCCATTACAGGATGGAGGAAATGATTCAGATGAATTTATGTAGCAGATATTTGTAATTTATAAACATAAACTAAAAGTGCTTGACGACAAAGTGATCATCAAAACAAGAAACTTGTCTGAAATGTGTTACTTATTTTTATATGTAAAAATCTGAACATTTATGGATTACAGCACATGCTATGAAACAACATTAAGATATTTCAAACTATTGTATAAAGGATTGTTTGTTATGAAAATAGGACACTTATCTGAAATTACCTATTTTATTGTACAAGTTCAATCTGAAACACCTTCCACATGAGCCTTTGAAGATAAATGGTATTTTGGTTAAAATCTGTTATTGTTTTTGAGGCCAAAATAAAATATTCAGTGCTATGGCTTACTTAGACTGTATTGGTATTTAGTTTTGACCATGTACCATATCATTATGAATGGGTTTAATGGTCCATGTACCCATATTCTTTCACTAGTAAGTAAAGAAATGAAGGATTTCATCTCTCCATCCCTTGATCCATAATCTTTTATATATTCACATTTCTGATCTTCCCTACATTTATTATTTTCCATACGCATCTCTGATATAAGATCTTCCCAACATCCATAATTATCTATATTCATCTCCGATCTTCTCTACATCTATAATCTTCAATGTTAATCTCTGATCTTCCCTATACATTCATAATCCTTGATTTACAAGTTTGATCTTCTGTCTCTGATCTTCTGATCGCCTGCCGATCATAATCATCAATATTCATCTCTGATCTTCCCTATACATTCATAATCCTTGATTTACAAGTTTGATCTTCTGTCTCTGATCTTCTGCCGATCATAATCTCCAATATATATCTCTGATCTCCTCTTCAGTCATAATCTTCAATGTACATCTCTGATCTTCTCTACATTCATAATATCCTATATTCATCTCTGATCTTCTCTACATTCATAATATCCTATATTGATCTCTGACCTTCTCTACATTCATAATATCCTATATTCATCTCTGATCTTCTCTACATTCATAATATTTTATAAATCTCAGTCTTCTTTATGGATATCTGAACTTTCAAATCTATGTAATCTTAATTACAAACGTGTGAATAACTATGAATACCAGAGATAATTCCTATTATACTAAGTAACATCACACATTGTTTTAAGTTATTCGGTACATATGCATAATCAACGAAAAATCAGTTATTAATGTATCAAAAATACCTATTCGAGTTTTGTCTTACTTTTAAATTGACGGAAATGAGGACATGTCACGGCACGTTGCTTTCTTTAGTATAGTGATAATGATAGATAATTGATCATAAGTCTTATGGTTATTTACACCAAAATTAGTTGCAATGGATGGTGATCTAGGCGAAGTAATTTTGGTTATACTGTGTTCGTTATTCGTTGAGCTTCGTTTCTGCTCAGACAACCATGGATGTGAAATGGCAAGTTAACCATCATCTTCACAATGTCAAGCTATTACGAACTTCGTACATATGCAATAGTAACCTTTCTTGTATCACGGAAGATAAAATTGCTGTCGAGGACTCTGATTGCCTATATATTCGCTGACGTACCATCCAATCAAATTGCAGCATTCCGTGACACAAGAACATTTACTATTAGGCCTACAGTCAAAGTAATTTCGTAATAGCTTGACATTCTGTAGATAGGAAGAAATATAGATTTGATCACAGGAAGGCCACATGGACAGGGGCATTCATTGGATTCTTATCCTGTCTTCGCACAGAGTCAGTGTTCAAAATAACTGCGGATAATTGTCTCAAAGTGGTTTGTTGGGGAATCATGTTTATATATAAGAAACAATGGACAGTGCAAGTAGTTCAACATTTGTCAATTGCTTGAGGGCAGTGGTTATATAGTACAGTGGGTGGGATAATTTTCCTGGTATATTTTTTACTTCACCATAAAGGGTCAAAAGTGCAACAGTTGATTGATAATTAAAGGTGAATGAATCGATACAAATTGCCAACTGTGATCCTTGCATATTCTATTATATACATGTTATTGATATTATATCAAGTTTTAATACTCCGTATTGTTTAAATTACGACGAAATAGTCTATAATATAGATAGGTAAAAGTGATAACCAAATGTGTATTTATCATTCATAATATATATACTTTGGAAGTTGAGTGAATATCGCCAAATCACCAACAAATTGAAAGTGGACTGAAACTTAAATGGTTAAAATTCGATTTATAAGTTTAAGCTGTGCTCCGAGGTTTGTGTTTTTTTATAATAGTCTCCATCATCGAGCATTTGTTTATCAAGTCACTGTGACACATCTTCAAACTTGAACTTATTTCTGAATTCTGCATAATTATGTAGGACCGATGCCAATTGGCATAATTTGGCAGTGCACTATTTATACAAGGACATGATAAACTTTGTTTCGACATCATGCTGTAAACGTGTGAAATTTTTGGCGCACAGAAAACATAGCTCGAATCAGCGCATGAGATTACAAAAAGTCTATGTCAAAAATAACGATGATTGAAATTGTTATAAATGTCTGTTGGTAATTATTATGCAAACTGGAATACCATCTGTATATATTCAACTCGTATTATTATGATTGAATTAATAACTCTGGAAACAGTTATATTTCTGATGACCTTGACCCTAGTCAGCTGATAGTGATATGCCGCTGTTTATTATGTATATTTTAACTTAGAACCGTCACCTATTTTACTTGCAGTATAATGTTGAAAATGGTGTCGTAAAAGACAGAAATTTGTGACTTGTAGAATGATAATGTAATAGTATAAGCCTATATTGTGATCAGACATTTTTGCTGTATCTGTTCTTGAAAAAATACATCCATCAGATCTTGCCAATAAAGTTCAAACTTGACCAATCGATCATTTGAGTTAAAATGTGACAATGGCAAAAACCATTTTAAAAGATTCAGTTTTATGGAGAGAATTCATAGCAGTCGTTGGATTTCTGGTTTGTTTAGCTCTCCATATAATTTCTATGTCCACAACTCATTGGGCATGGCAACCATTAAATGGCGATGACTACAAATTGTATGGATTATGGCGAGAGTGTAGATTGACTCGTGTGTCACATATTTGTACATCGTTTACAACTGGAGATGATAATGTATATAAAGGTTGGTCATATTTCATATTTTAATGAGAATAACAGGCGGCACGATGCTTCTATCAGCTGGGGTATGGGAGATTCGATTCCTGCATGGGTCGGGATGGTAAGCGTCCCAAAGTTCGACAAGTAGTATCTCAGCTGTTGGCAAACTGATCAATTTCAAAATTCTCACAGATATGTTTCAAGATGTCGTTGTCCAACCCTGAAAATATGAAAGTCATCGAATAAAAATTGTACATGAACTGCCTCAGAAAAAAATAGTATGTCAACTAATGCAATATCAAGGCAACTTACCTATTCCAACTTGTGTTCAATATCCCCTCGACCTGATATAACAGAATATCTCGCAGAGCATATCTTTCTTTCTTTTTTTTTCAGGAAATGAATGGAAGAAAGGTGCTCAAGTGTTGACATTGGTTGGTTTAGTTAGTATTTTATCACAGATATTACTGTCCCTGTCTATTATGTTAGTTCAGAAAATAAAGAATAATGAAAAGGAAGCTTTTGGAGTATTGATGTGCCTTCTAGGTTCTTATTGTGAGTTTGAAATTTTCTATCGTTGCCTTGAAACAAAGAGGAAAAATCAAGAATGATACTCGCAACAATATTGTAACACTAAAGGGCAGTGTAAGCTTTGGGATATTTGTCTGTAGGGGTAACTGAAGAGTAACTTCCGGTTTACTCTTTTTTTCAGCCTAAATCTCAGAAAAACATTGTGCAATGAGCATTTATCTATCTACTTACCTACATTTTTTTTACGTTTCAGTTACATGTACATTACTGGTGTTACTCATATTTGGACATGAAATCTACAAAATAGAAAATACTCAGATATCCTGGTCGTATCACATAGCTATTTGTTCTATGACACTCAATATTATGAGTTGTGTTATTGGGGTAGCACCTTTAATCAATAAAAATTGCACATGTTGTGGTGACCGTTCTATTAACATCAATAATGATAAATACAAAGGAGACAATATGCCAGAATCTTCACAACAGATCAGTTCTGAATTACCTCAAAAATCTAGTGAAAAGGACAGTGGTTACTCGCTATATGTTCGGAAATACCAAGACGAAAACGGAGCTTGGATGGTTGCTGTTTAGCAGATTAGGATGAATAAGAAAGTCCTTTGGTGGAGACATTTCTCTCCACAATGTTCTTATTAGATATAATATATGAATAGTTAAAATTGTAATATTTCTATTTCTATATCGTTCTAAAATTGATGTATTGAGCAGTATTTTAACAGTGAAAATATTTTATTATTGTATTTCAGATAAAATGTGATTTTTTCAAATATTATTACGAAGTGTTTCAGATATATATACCAAATTATTACAAACATGATAGGGAATTGAAGCCATGTTTTAATCGTCTTCTATTCTCAATGTTCTTCTTTTTCTGGTCATTATAAGACAGGGGTATATGGCGATCTCTTTATCGGCTTTTTTTTTCTTGTTACTAACTGTTACTATGTACACCACTCGTATTAATATCAATCTTAAAATAGATAAAAAATGAAATGAGTGGAATTTTACGTCCTACTTTTCTGCACCATGTAGGCTAATGAATCTTACAATAGAACAAGACTTCTCTTCGTCTGAACGTGATGGAAAGTAAACATATCCTCTTTAATGTCAAAAACGGAGGTATTTTTGGACCTACGTGTTAAATTGAAAAGAGTGATTAGAGTACAATATAGGACATGATCATGGAGTATTAGTCTCATACTCGTCTATGAGCCAATATATTGCATTATACTTGTACCAAGTGGAACCGAGTTTTTAACGTTATACATCAGATCCATCGCTATAAAGACTTTAGCTTAATGCTAACTTCGTCATTGTACCAGACCATCTTGTGAACCTATATACCAATTTGCAAGATGGATGCTAAAGCTCATGTCCCGACATGACGTGAGAATAACGTTTATGCCCATGGTTTTATACATTGATTTTGCCCATAAACTTACATCTGTTTCCCAAAATGAAAAAGGAATTATCTGGTCGCCCTTCTAATATTTATGGCGTTATTTCCGCTGTGATTGACTTTTATTTTATGGTGGCTCCAGAAAATATTTTCTTGATCCGCATTGTAAATAAATGTCAAGCGATCGGAGTCGGACAACATAACACATCTGGTCCACTTGTCACCGGGGGACCTTTTTTGAAGGGGACTCGCAGCTACATATAGTGGGACTGACGCTTTTAATCTTTATGCATTGCTATTATCGAATACTCCGCACTTCAGATGTACTATATTTTCTGGCGCAATTCTGGAATTTTGCTTTTTCCCATTTTGTAATATTCCTACGACCTACGCCAGTAGTTGGGCATTGACCCATTGACTGGTAGTTCATAATGCTGTGTAATATAATGAAAGGAGGTGTTGGTAATTATTGGGTTAAGTCTATGTTTGTCTGTATCTAAAAGTTCACGAGTTCAGTCCCTTATATAATTACGGCTTATGAGATAAAGTCGGATAGTTTGAACGAAAACATCTCCTTATGGTAAATGACCCTGTTGATCTTTTTGTATGACAGATGAAATAGTAAATATTACTTTTGTTGAAGGGGGATGATTTGAGTCTTAAATGTATGTAAATAGTCTTCAGAAATAATAGAAATGTACGAAAAATGCACTATTCCTTCAAATATATCTCAGACTAGGACTTTTTATTTCTATGCAGCTTATGTATTTTCTATATATGGTAGAGTCTCAAGAAATATACGAGTCGTCATCTTAACTTTCAAACACGGATAATTCTGGACACACATGGATCGAAGGCTCAAATTTCGACGGTGAGATCTTAGCTAAAATAAAAAACCGTTTCTGATACTAACGTGCAATTGGTCAAACGGGTGCCGAATCCTTTAATATGGAATAAAGATAGTTCTATAGTCCTTCAAATGAAGGCTCCAATGTTTGCTAATAACTATTAGCTAAACAAATTATGAGACCATGAACTGGATGAACAATATAATAATGTTTTTCTCGTTCATCCGGAATACTATAATTAAACTGGATAGAATAGAGTGCATTGAGAAACACGACTCATGCAAACTAGAAACAAAGATTTCTTGTATAAGGTACAGGTAACCCATCATATCCCGTCCCGAATACGGGTTTTGACATGATCTTATTAGAAAGTATGACAAATGTGGGCGTGGTCTGGACTTTTGGGCTCATCTAACATTCTCTTAATATGTTATGAGGCCAAATTGCCCCTTCGTCAACCATAAGCAAAGAAAGTGGAATAAAATTACATGTATAAATTACTCTTGAATAGAAGAAATATGATATATATGGTATAATCAAATGCTACGTTATTAAAATTTTCTTCAAATTTTTCAACTACACCCTATATACACAGATTGTACTCTAGATATATTTTGTCTAGCCACTTTTTTCTGCACATAGCAATAATTGGCGCTAAATTTTCAACTTGGCCTGTGCTTTCATAATTTCAATTAAACATTGTTTTAATCAAGATTACAAGCCCTAGCTCTAAACCATCATTGTGACATGTGATGAGACAAGTGGTAAAATTTGTTAATTGTTTTAATTAAATTTTGTAGTTAATAACTTTCATTTCATTGTAGTAGGCCTATATATAACATATGAAAATATTGTATATAACTTTTCAAATTGGAAATCCTTTCATAACGTTATTTCAGTGTCCTTAAAGGGACAGATATATATATGTATATAGTCTTCATAGGTACTAGAAATGTACGAAAACCGTATAATTCCTTTAAAATATTTTAAACTAGGAATTTTACTCACCTTTACTATATAGATGTATGTCTTTTCTATATATCACAGAGTATCTTAAATTGATGAGTCGTCATTTTAACATTCAATCACATATAATTCTGGACACCCACGGATTTGAAGGCTCAAATTTTAACGGGGAGATGTGAACACTATTCCTGATAGTTTTAGTTAAAAAAATTCCCGTTTCTGAGACTAAAGTGTGATTGGTCAAAAAACAAATGGCGCCACTGTCCCTTTAACTTAAACCTTCGTTCACTCGCTTACTTTACAGCATACTTTATCATGAAATTATGTTTGAAATTGATAAGAATGACGATAGCTGGGAGAATCATATGTCATCATAATATTAAGACGAGTCAATCTCTCATGTCTCTATTCTTCATTTCCAACAAGGTGCAAAAAATGGTGTAAAAGTTTTCATGTATGTTAGAACTACATTCGAGCTATGTTATTGTGTGACATTTTCAAAATGATTCAAAATGCACCAAATCAAGCATCTGGACGAGGACCCCCTTGGACTAGACTTACTTATCCCAACAGTTTCCCCTACTCTCTTCAGGATTGGTGGTGTTATAGATGGAAAGTTAACGCCCCCAAACCAATCTCAGCCATATCCCACCCCCCTCCCCCCTATCCCACCCCCTCCCCCCTCCCCCCTCTTCTCTTCTTGCCTATTAAGTCAGTCTGTCTCCTTTATACACCCCCCAGTTACTATATGCTGTGCCCAGTAAGTTTTCAAATTAAAATTTCTATCTGCACATGAATTGTGTACAATAGATGCCCATATTCAAATAAATTTCGATCTTGCAAAGTCACAAAGCTACAAGGCTGAAATTCGAAATAGGGCTTTTGCTTGCAAGCGGCTATAGAAGCAATGATGACAAAAACCTAAAACTCACTATCGGTTATCAAAAGATATCCCATTAATCTCTGCTCTCTATTAATGTGATCATCAGTATTTGATTACCGCACTATATACAGGTAATATTTACCTTTGATCATTACCAGTTGATAAAGACTACGTTATCAAACTTGTGGTAAGTATAAACAGTAGGTATTAAAATGATTGACATGTCGTCTCGATCTAACAGTACAATATCAAATAAGTTATTATCGAAAGAGTGATACATAACCTTTATAACTAGGCCTAATTTAAGGTGTGTTTCTCTTTTTAATCATTAAACTCAATTTGAAAGACAAAGTGAATTTTATTTTGTATGAAGTAAGAAATAAAAGGTATATTTACTTAAAGGTGACGTCATAAGTAACTTTAATTGTGTGGAATGAAGATTTTTGTTATGTTTTAAGTCTCGTACCATTTCAAATTAAACAGCACGCGGATATAGTAGCAGTGTACACTTTTCTTTCAACATAAAACAATTTTTAAGCCGGTAAGTCGATTTTAGAAATATTTATCATTTGATACAATACTGAACTTTTTCTTTTGTTTATCTTTATATGTAATCTATGTGTGGCAATGTCTGTATGGTCTTATCTATGCACTAAATGGCTTCTAATATAATTCTCCATATTATTGTATGTATGTATACCCATATAAATACGCAATAATGCATACTTTCAATTGGAATGTATATGAATGATATTTTTAAAGGTCCTTATCAGAAATGCTGTGGTTGAAAAAAGCTTCATGCTTTTAAGGACGGAATGTCTTAATTTACTTTCTCAATTAACGTTGATTAATGGAATAAGATTATAGGGCTTCATCGTTTCTTCGACACATCCGAAACTATTACATCTTTCTACCATGCCTCACTTGGCAGATTAACCTTGTATGGACCGAGAGGGGAGCCGCAGTGGCTCAGTGAGTTAGACACTTGCTCGCTAAACTGAGTGTCCAGGGTTCAATCCCGGCATAAGTGGAGATGATACCTTCGAATTTTTCACCGCCTCATACAAAACTAGTAACACACTGTCCAATCTTACGGCGTTGACTAAACGGTGATGTCTATAAGGGTTATGTTTTGGACCCTTTCCTGAAGTATACTAACCATACCATTTTGCCTCCTTTCTCGGAATCGATTGTATGTATATGTCGTTTCAGTCGAAAGTGAAAGTAAGAAATACATGTAGATATCATTTATTGACCTGTCTGAAATACAATAAAAAAAATATGGATAAAAATAATGATCCTGGCTATAACCGTTAATTTGTTTTATGTAAAAATATATAGCCTAGTATAGTTGATAATGTTATCCAAAGACAATGCCTTAAGGCTTATAGGAGTATAAAATAGGCTAAACATATTACATATCTATTAAAGGTGGATTAAGGACAACTGTGTTTAGTATGTTGCTTATGAAATTATTGCTGAAATAAGGCTGGCAATACAATTTTCGGTTTTGAAGCAAACAAACCCCTACTCCACTCCCTCCCTCCCTCCCCCACACCACCATCCATCCCTGAAAAAATGCTCCTCCGGATATATTTCTTGCCCTTCCGAACAAGTCTGGCTACGGGCCTGCTGGAGATATGATAATTTTGTGATAAATATAGCCTACCAAATGAACTTCATTGGCTGTGTAATTTCCGAACGGCATGCAAAGTGGACTAAACAAGTCGTAGAATGGCATCAGGTGTTCCGGTGGAGCTTAAATTCAAGTGTTTAATTTGATGCAATTTAGTTTCAAAACTTTTACTTTACCAAAACACTGTTA